TCATAGGAGGACTTTCGTGTGATTGGCTGATGTAAATCAATTGTCCGGGGTTGTCCGGATAATTTATTTATATACTTTAAAGTACTTTTTGAGAATGTCATGTTTCACTAATAAAAAATCACCGTAAAAACCATTTCTAGCTTTAAACGAACGTCAATATTCAGTGTTCAAAAGAATCTAAAAAGAATCTAAAATCTGAGATACTTTACTTAGAAGACAAAATGTCATGCGCAATTACTATATGCAAGAGAAAGTCGACCTATTGGAAAAAGGTAACCAAGTATGTTATTGCTAAAGGTCAAACTAACGACACTTTGCCAGATTATATCCATTTAGACGATACAATATGCTTGAATTGTTATAATGGAATTGTGACAAAAAGTTCAGTTGAATTCCGACAACATGCTCAAACTAGTACAAGACGACTTGAAACTGACGAGACTAATGAAACTGAAACTAATAACTATACAGGACGATCTGGAACTGAGGAGACTGGTGAAACTGAGAGTACTAACTATTTGTTCTTTTCCAAAGCAATAGAGGTGATAACAAATATTTTGTATGCTCGTGAAAATAAAGAAAAGGAACCGACATTATACTCATTTGACGAATTCCGGGCAGTTATGGAAGGAGAGGATAAGAGGTTAAGATTTTTTTTTGATGAGTTGTACTTTTCATCTAACCCACTATCAAAAAATAAAGATTCGCAGATGCGGGTGAAAAAGCAACTCCTATTTATATGCTACTTTCTCTGTGGAATTCGAAACAAGTTTGTCAACAATGCTAAGAGAGATTTGGCGATGTATTTAGATTCAACCGGTGCTTCCAATACTTCTATAGACACACTTGCAGATTTAGGCATAACCACTACGTCCCGTACAATCAAACGACATAAAACTTCCGCATCCGAAGAACATGCAAAGATTATCGATTCTGAACTTTCGAAACATGCAAATAAAGCAATGGTGTTGAATATTGATGATTATCACAGTATTCACACAAAACGGATGCCAAATACTACTACAACATCTACCGTCGCGCACTTGGCAACAATTCTAATAAATCCGATTACCACTCTGCATGCAATTCCAAAAGCGAATATACATAATCCCGCACTGGTTGACGCTGAATTGATCAAAATGAATATAAATAATAAATTCATAATACCCTATGGTCTTTCACACAATCAACGTTGGGGATTTCGTACGGTTAATGATGATACAAGATTGGATGAATTAACTGTACATAGTTATGATATTAGATTGAAGGAGAAGCGCAATGTTCGTTCGATGAAAGATGTTGTTCTTGTGGATCTACAGGAAAATAATCTTCATTCTTTGGAAGAATATATTAAAGCCATTAATGCTGTTACAGAAGTTCCATCCATGCAGCAATATATCGAAAAAGGGAATATCATCCCTATCGTCGCTGATTGGCCCGGACAGATTCATCTCAGAACAGCTATTTCACGTTACTTGTGTTATCGTGATTCATCGAACATTACTAATAATATTTTGTCCTTTCTTCCTATTATAGGTCCTTTGCATATTTCGTTGAATAGTCGTGAATTAATATTTCTTCAGTATCGGCCATTCTTTTTTGCGATGTACAAGTATATTTTTGGAGAACGGAAGCCTCTTGCACAAAATCCTAAACCATGGCGTATCAATCTCCTTTTAGAGATTTCTCGCAGCGCGTGGCAGGAAATTTCTGCGACTGTCGAAGCGAAGTTTGGATCACTGTGTAAAGATGCCGAATATCTTGCACTTAAAGACCTCCTTGACAATACGATTCCTCTTGTTCTAGATATTTATGCCGTATTTTTTCGATCTGGTGACTTTAATGCTTACTTTGAATCTTGCTTTCGTGTTTGGACAGTGTTTTTTAAATTCCGCCGCAGAAATTATTCCAAGGCACCATTAATGTTTCTTTCCGATATCTTTTACTGGGAGTTGAACAATCACCCGATCTTAGAGACAATTAAGGCAGAACTTCCCAAGTTCTCAGATTCAACCGTGGAGATATTCCACAGTTTTTTACGCCAAAGTACACAGAAATACTCTGAAACACAACAGATTATCAAATATGGACGTTACATTAACCAATTGCGTCTGGATGACAATGGCTTCAGGGAGAACTTTGCACACACATCAACATGGGCAGCCTACGAATATTCTGCACACGATATTACGTTTTTAACAAAGAAAAGTGCATGTTTTCTTTTGCAGTGTTTTTCAGAAATTTATACGCGCTTATTTTATGATAAATCCCCATTAATATTTCCATTACAGACTATCGTAAATCCGAATTCATCTTCGAAGAAAGGCAAGCAGAAAGTTAGCGATGTTGCTGTTTCATTAATGGCGATGAAAATGCCTGAAGCACGATTATGTCATCTTCCTCTAGGGTTCAATACTTTATATAAACCAGATCCGTTTCGTTATTGTGATGCATTTAACTGTTCTATTTCTTTATTAATTAACATAGATCCAATTAAAGTTTTAGCTTGCGGTCACACTTATCACAAGTCTTGCTATACCAATAACGGATTCAAGTGCATGCATTGTCTTTCATTTTTACGAGATGGTATTGATGAACAAGTTCAATCTTTACTAGAGCGCTTGCAACGTTTCAATGAAGAACAGCAAGCAGAAGTTGAAGATCCAGAAAATAATATTCCCTGCGACGACGACGACGAAAGTGAATCCGTAAAATATATGGCATTTACATTAGAGGAAGCATTGCGTAAATTTCAACAGCAATAGACAAAATTTTCTATTGGATTAATAATAGTTTTATTTTTATTGAATTTTCTTTTTACTCTTAAAATAAATATGCATTTAAAAAAACTTAAAAAGATAATAACGATAATAATAATTAGATAACGATAATAATTCATTAATTTTACGACATTGAATTACTAAATTTGTATAATCGATCTTACGATGTAGATCTTAAGAAAATCAGCCAATCACACGAATGTCCCCCTATGA